TTGCCTTGAAATTCTAGCACAGTTTTCTTTGAAAAATTTACTATTCATTTGGTTATTTTTGGATTTTTACCTTATCTTTGCCTAAATTTGGAAAGGCATAACTTTCTGCTCGATTATCAGAATCAGGCAAACTACCTCTCATTTTAAAGAGAAAAATCAGATCTCTTTGCTCACCAAATTTTATAACCTAGCTCACTCGTTTACTCAAATAGTCATTAGTCAAACTTTGGTCCATTTTAGTTGACCTTTTGCCCTCTTGAAAGGGTAACTTAACTTAATTGATCATTTGCCATCATAGCATACTCTCAGTAGCTATACTAGCTATTTCTAACATGCTTGGACTATTCTAATCATGCTTGTATACTTCTAACCTTAATCATAGTATTGGAAACTTAAAACATGCTTATCATTACATTCTTCCAAACTAGAAAGGTTCAAAGCCATATAAAGTTACTATGGCTTACTACCTCTTCAAGTAAGAGCTAACTCCCTTCCCTTGCCCTTGGATGTTGAAGGCTAGGGTTGTTTAAATATTGGGGTAAAATTCTTGGAGAATCTTAGTAGCAATTGCATACATTATCAAGGTCACACAATACATTGTAAATCAAGCTACATGCATGCATATTTTAACTTTATGTTCATGCTATGGCAAGGACATATCATCATTAACATTCATGGCACTCAACATAGCATAAGCTGAGGCATAAATTGCATGGAGGCAACATCATATAACATAACATTCTCATCCACCTCAGAGCATAACAAGTTAGCAAAACAAATTCCTGTAACTTTTATATCAGGTATTTGTTAAAACCTTAACTAAATACTTAAGTACCTGAGCATTTATTCTATTGATATTTTTGTTTGTTGATTTAGGTATCTTTTCAAGAATTTTATAATCCCCAGTGGCCTTGATGGCAAGTTCAAGATTATCAGCCCTCACATTTTTGCTGGCCATGGACATGATATGAGAAGAAAGACTTATCCAGAGACTTGGTGGATATCTTCCTTTCTAGGGCAGTAAAGACTAAGACTTTGTTTTTGACGCCTTACTGTCAAGGGTACGTAATATACTGAACTTTCTTAAATTCTTTTATTTTCAAATATTTTGTAATTATTCTAATTGTCTTTCTTATACTTAGGGGACACTGGATGCTGATTATGGTCAATCCCATAAAACCAAGAATTTGGTATTTTGATTCTCTTCATAGGGATCCAACCAATTGACCATTTATAGTTTCATTGTTCAATAAGTAACATTTATATCTATTATTTAAATTTAATTTAATTTCTTGCTTCAATCTAATTTTGACAATCATTAATATTCAATTTAATTGTCTTCTCAGGGTTTTGTGGCTATACTGCACAAATCAAGCCTTACCCTACCACAGGTAAAAAACAACCAATTTGACGATACCTTCCCATGGAAGAAAGTGAAGGTATTCATTACTATTATTTACTATTATACTAAATATAGTTTATTTATATGATTGACTAATATTATTTCCTTTTCCATTCTTTATAGTGCCCATGTTAGCCTAAAAAAGCTCTGATTGTGGGTATTGCGTGATGAAATTCATGAAGGAGATAATTATGCACAATGCTGACATAGTCCCTATGCAGGTAATATGCATTTGTTAAAGTTCAATTTATATATTTAAGAATTGTACTTATTGTAGCTTTACATTTATATCTAACTTCAATATAATTTGTAGTTGCATATAGTACTTTGTTGACACATATTGCACAGCGTATTCATTCGCTCAGATGGAAGAAATCATTGAAGAGTTGACAATGGCCTTATACCATCAGTGGGCACAAAATAGATAGGGAAGTAGAAGACATGTATAGCTTTGGTTTTAATTTGGTTTTGGTTCATTTTTTGCTGTTGTTGTTTTTGACATTGAGCAACTTTGGCAATTGGCCAATTTTGGTTTTGCTTCACCTTTTGCTTTTGCCTTTTGTATTTTCTAGAATTTTTACTTGCCTTAAACACAAGTTCTTTTAATATGACAGTTGGTTTCCTATTAATTAAGATGTATATAATGTAAATTTCCACCTCATACGTGTGTGGTTACATTCATGTGGCTGAATTATTGGTTTGAATGCTAGCCTGGTTCTATTGAATAATGCTGTTTTGTATGATGTTTCATAATTGTAGGGGGGCTACTAGCAAAGCAGAACCCATATTTAAAAAAAAATTTCATAATACTTGACAGTTATTACGTAAAACTGTCAAGTATTATAACAATACTTGACGGTTTTAGTAGTAGCCGTCAAGTATTACACTAATACTTGACGGTTTTAATGGTAACAGTCAAGTATTGTTTACAACTATTGGAAAATACTTGACGGTTTTAAGAACCGTCAAGTATTGTTCTAGAATACTTGACCGTTTCTAAGTAAAACTGTCAGGTATTGTTCCTCAAAACTTGACGGTTTTAATGGTAACTGTCAAGTATTGAGGAGCAATACTTAACAGTTTTTCTTAAAAACGGTCAAGTGTTCAAGTAATACTTGACGGTTCTTTATTTAAAACTATTAAATATTATCAAAATATTTAACGGTTAATAATTATCAAATATCTGTCATCGAAATATATGACGCAGGTATACTTGACGGTTTTTAATTGTCAAATATGACCCAAATAACCATCGAGTATTTCTCATTCTGTAGTAGTGCTGAAAGCTGCCCTAATGTCATCCTCAGCTTTGAGAATTGGTTTGAGTTTGTTCCTCTTATAGTCTCTAAGAGAATAGAGAAGTGAAGAAAGTGATTACTAGATGAGGCAACAATAACAATAGAAATATTTGGATTTGAAGTAGTGACGAATCAACAATGATGATATATATAGATACGCACACATCTTTGTGTAAAGAACTTTATCCTCATTTTTGGTACCTTTCGTTCTCTAATTGTGAGATAAACCCTAGTGGATATTTTGCCTTTGAATTACTTTAAGGAGCATATAAAATATATTACCACCTTGGTCCCAATTATAAGATTTCATTGTAGTCTACAAATGAGGTTTTATAATTAAGACCGGAAGTAGTTACTTGGAAATGATAACTCACGATGATGGATGAATCACATAATACTTTATGACATTGAAAATTTGAACAATTTGGGGGGGGGGAAAATTCATGGTGCTGAATATACCTTAAATAAAAGCACCCCACTTATGGAAAAAAAATCATTCTATAGATAATATTGGTTGGGTTGAAAAATATTTAGTGGATATTTTAGCATTACATATTTAGTGTCAAAGTTACCACTAAAATTTGTTATGTTGATAGTTTTCATTGAATTTAGTTTGGAATATTTTTTTCCTAACATATTGTATGCAAAATATGATAGGAATATATAGGAGCATCTTTGACCATCATTACATTTACATGCTTATATTGGTTTCTCTTAAATTAATAATTTTATGTTTTAGAAGACAAAACTATTGACCTAACGCGCATATTTATTTTTGTAAAGTGCAGAATTAATTATCTATTTATGTACTGCAAATCCAAATGAGCACTAATACTTGTTAAGTTTTTTTCCCCCATAGTTTCCTTGTCCATTAAATTATATGGTCACTACTCACTACCATCAGTTCGGTCCCTATTTTAAGTCGTTTTTATAAGAAAGTTTTTGTCCTAAGGAGTTATTAAGAATATATTTTAATTTTAGCCATATAGATTGGAAAGAGAAAAAGAATAGACATGATAAAGATTTGTATATGTATGGAGATTTTTTTTAATAAAAATAAACTTAAACACTTTTATGCTTTTATCAATTACAATGATTTAACGACTTAATTGTCATTCATTGATTCATAAGAATTAGTTTGAAGTAAGTTATAATAGGGATGGTAGTTGTACTAAAAACAATAACCACGTGGTGTGTTTTTTCAAGTACATATATTTTTATTGGAAGTAATTTTGTATAAGATATTATTAATTACTAAATGTTGGTACTTATCTTTACGGAGACTCAAATTCTAATTTGTCATGTTGTAAGGCTACTAATCTTTTCGCTAGACCATAAAACTAGAAGATTTGACAAATTTGCAAGAGCTTGTGTGGCATCATGTAAAAATCTCAAAAGTCACTTGGGACAAAAGAAACTAATTGGATAAAATAAATGATGTTCGGGCCTTGGCATGGTTTTGGATTTGGAGATGATTGACCTTTTCCGCCTTAACGCTACTCTAAAATTGAAGCAACTATTTATTTTAGTTTTTCCATTGCTTTTTCATGTTTTAATATTCTGAAACTAGCTTTTTCCATGTATTATTTAAATAAATTTTGGTTAAATCGAATTTTTATAAAAGTTTACTTAAATATAAATCATATTATACTAATTAACTTTTAACTTCATTTTAATTTATAAAAATCAGTTTAGATGGAAGTCACTTTTGTTTTACTAGTACTAATTAATTAAGTTAAAAATTGCAATATGCAATGCAGGATCAGGAAGCTTCATTATAAATTATGATTCCCGCCATTACATTATTTAGTTACCGCGCTTTTAACACGTGTTGAATTACATAGCATCAGGTTAATCTAACGGATCCTATATTAATTTATACCACCATCTCTCTCTGGGCTTTGCTCCTTTGAAAGCAAGCCAGGAAAAAAAAAAAAAAAAAAAACATACAGTTGCTGGAAGCTCAGGTACGTTAGATGCCAACTTTCTGGGATCGAAGTGGAAAAGAAGATATGTACGTTGTGCATTATTTGATCTTAGTTCTGTGACTGTCTTTTGATGAAACTATTGGGGTTGATCTTGGAGGTTTTAGTCGAAACATATTAGGCTAATATGGTTTATATACTGTTGCTGACTTGCTGTTGACATCTGGAGGAGGAACTCGTTATTGGTCCTGAGTCGAATTATCCTTACAGCTTTTTTGAAGCGATAAAATATATTGTTTGTGTTCACCAAAAAAAACAAAAAAAAGGAAGTCTTTTGCAGAAAGGTCCACCGTTTTGGTTTAGCTTTTTATGATCATGGCTTCGTCATCATGGGAAAAATTGGAGATTTCATTGACTCTGTTCTTAGACAAAGATAAAAGTAAGGCTCTATATGCTGAAGCAGAGAATGACTTTGTCAATGTCTTATTGAGCTTCTTAACATTGCCCCTGGGAACTATTTCTGGACTTGTTGGTAAAGAATCTACTTTACTGCCTTGCACGTTTAGCTGCATTTCCTCACTGCGTCAGAGTGTGGAAAATCTGGACCTAAGACACTTTACTTCTGATGGGTATAAAGGAAAGCTGCTGAATCCAATCAACCCAAGTGTAGCAAAATTTAAAAATCTGCTATATAACTTCGATGATCCCCAAATGTCAAATTGCTGTGTTCGGTATCTTCGCAAGCCCGCATGTTTTGTTGTCTGTGATGATCCAAGAGTGATGCCTAGTGATCTGAACACAACCTTATGGATACTACGTTTTCTTGGAATTGAATATGCTCCAGAGAAATTGACTGTGCATGTGACTGAGAAAGTGGTGAACGTACTGTAGTATTACAGAGTAAATCATACTCATGTGCTTTTAAATATTGTGAAAAATTATCCGAACTCTTTTGACACTTGAAATGCTTCATGCTTTGTTTGTGAAGGTGTTGGATCTCCTGAAGTTCTCTTTATGGTCTAAAACACCATTGACAGATTCATTCCTGCACAAAAAGCTCCAAATTCAGAACTGTAAAACACCATTGAATAGCGGTTTTGTTTAGGATGTTGGTTTGA